TTTGATCATCGTATTGTGGTGATATAAGAAAATGTCTGTTCTTATGGCTACATACACAGAAATATTTAGAAGTTATAGGGTATGTCTATAATCTACTATCCAACAGATTAGGAAAAACAACAATTCAGATTAGTTTGTGATAAGGAAATTCCAGCGGGGAAGGGAGAGAGAGAGGGGAGGGAGAAAGAGTGTAGAAGTGGCAAAATGTTAAGTAAATTTGGGTGAAGAGAAGATATATAGAAGTTATTTGTAATATTCTTGCAATTCTTCTGTAAATTCAAAATTTCTTTAAAATAAGCATTTTCAAAAGTCTTTGTTAATTCTTGCCACATCCATATCATCTAATCAGAAATTATTTTCTGTGTTCAAGTTTACATTTTTCTGGACCCTTCCTTTTGTCCATATATAAGGTGAATCTATCTTTCTCTGCACTACCATGTACTCTCTCATGCAGGGAGGGTCCTTTTTTTTTTTTAAGGAAATAACTTATAACCTACAAGGCAGTGTCATAAATACTTTTAAAATGTTTTTTAAAACATATTTCTATACATACAAATATATGGGAATAATTCCAGAGAGCCTCTGGAGTCCTTCTATAGATCGAACTGGTTCTGAACAATTGATATATAGAAAGATCAGCTGTTTAAAAAAGACTATATTATGCTAAGTACTAAAATTTTTATTAGTATACTACACTACTTACTAACTATAGTTAGCTCAGGATTACAGTGTCTCTCTCTTTAGAAGATGATAAGCCAGAGTTGTCATAAATGCCAAAATTCACGAAGTCACCTTGACTTCACAGTTTAGTAGGGCAGATTAAAATCGTAAATTTATTTTAGACATTGCAATTTTAGCATGACACCCTTATCTAATATCAAATTGTGGCATCTCAGAATCTCACGCAAAGCATGATAATCAGTTTTTAAATGCAAATCCTGAAAAATGGATTTCGGCAGAGAATGAATTTGAAACTTCAAGCTGGCCATGCCTGGGAGGACATGTGTTTACTGTTGAGTTGTGACACACCTACATTTTTCTTAGCAAACTACTGACAAGAAGGCATAATACTACATAGCTTATTTCTGACATAAATCATGGTCCAATGAAAGTAAGAAGACCATATGGCCAAATGGTGCCTCCCTCTCTGATTTACTATTCACTTATTTTTTAAATACCTGGGTAAGTAAAGAAAAACGAGTAAAATTTTAATGAATATTTTAAAGTAAAAGTGAATTTCACAGGGGTCAAATCATTACAGAAATGAAAATTTTCAACTAAAAATAAACATCTACAAATAACACCTTCAGATATTAGGCAAGATAATTACAACACCCAGCTGATATTCGGTAGATGAATAATTTTCCTAACCCTAAAGGTGCTTCAAGATGCCCTGGGTAGTAGAGCAGATTGTTCTGTAATAAGAAAACCCTCAGTCACCCAGTTGAGGAACTTTGCAAAGTTGCAGGAACTTTGCAGGCCAATATATAAGAATTTACATGACCCTTAACTTGAAGAAACCGATTTTCTCAGATTCTTCAATTCATGGAAATTTAGTTTTAAAAGAAACATTCAGAAAACATGAGTCCCGCTGTTTTTACAAATGTGAATTCACCTTCTTGCCCAAAGTCACCTGATAAATTAGTGGCAGAAATAGGACAGCAACCAAAGTCTTTTGGCTCCCAGGTTTATCCCTGATGCACTCCGCTATCTCACTTTTCCATTTTATGTGAACACAAAAAATGTGTAACTGTTAAAAAAAAAACGGTTGTTTTATAGATTTTCGGTCTTTAGTAAAAACCATTAGATAACAATTTAAAATATATTCCTCTTTGAAAGAGCGGATCTCTCAGTGCATATATTATAATTGAATGGGAAGAAAATAATCAAAGACAAAATTTCACAATAAATTCCTTATATTTACCTAATTTGTACACTAAATATTTTAAGCTTATATGATGTACATATTCTTTGAAGATCACTTATTTATGAATCCCCATTACTTGCTTTGTATTGAAAAGATAGTTTAACTGAGAGTATCTATTTTATTTTATTTCATTTTTATACCAAAGGCTTAAATATCTTCAACCTTATTAATTGCAATAAAGCTAAGGAGTTCCTTCTAACTTCTTTTTGTGGCATGGCATTGATTTAACATAACGACTTTCAGTACATTTCAATAAGAAGTAAGGCAATCTAGTTAAATGAAATAAGTAGAAGAGAGATAAGGTGATGATGAACATCAAAGCAAATTTTCAATGACATGATAGTGTTCCTATTCTAAGAATAAATATGATAAAATATTGACAGGAACTCTAAACCTAGCTATGGTCCTGATTATTTGAATTTCAGTTAATATGATGATCTGTTTGTATATATCTTGAAGTAAATTTTATTGATGACCCTTCATTAAATCAATTGAGGATTTCAGTTCCAACTCTCACAATATAAAGAGGATTTTAGGGTCTAAGAAACAATCTCTTATTCTCTTCTGTTAAAATCAAATATGCAAAGGTTCTCATGATAATTTCACCAGAACAAATTATATGGGAGCCAGTCACCATGAAAAAACTTGTCTACTATAGAGCTCTTTTAATTCCTTGCTACTCAATGTGGTCCGTGAACCAGCAGCATCAAAGTATGTTAGAAATGCAGAAACCCAGGCCCTACTTGAGACCTACAGAACCATAATCTGCATTTTAAAAGAATCTCTGAATGTTTTATATGCACATTAAGGTTTGAGAAGCATTGCTGTATTTTATTTTTCTTTTAAAGATTTTATTTATTTGACAGAGAGAGATACAGCGAGAGAAGGAACACAAGCAGGGGGAGTGGGAGAGGGAGAAGCAGGCTTCCTGCAGAGCAGGGAGCCCCATGCTATGCGGGGCTCCATCCCAGGACTCTGGGATCCTGACCTGAACAGAAGGCAGACGCTTAACGACTGAGCCACCCAGGTGCCCCAAAGCATTGCTTTAAATTAGATTTGCAGAAGATGTGAGAGAGAAGGAGTGAGTGGAAGCAATTCTATTTACATCTGTATTTTCTTCCCTAACCAAACATACCACAATAGCATATATATAATATTTTATACTATTTGTTAGATACTTTGTGAAGACTTTTATATTCATTGTCATGTTTAAATCTCACAACAAACCTTTGTGATGAGAACTGTCACTGCAATAAGAAAACAGATCTACAAAAGTTAAGTAGATAGGGCAAGTTCACACAAATAGTAACTGGTAGGAGGCAGTCAGACTCAAGAGCTTGTGCACTTAATCATTATATTTTATGGCTTAGCATATGGCTATATGCAGATTCCAATTTATGTCAAAATATGATACCAATTTTTGAATGGAGAACATATAAATTATACAAAGGCTCTAGTGGAAAAAAATTCTCCCTTATATATAAAAAAATTATCATTATGAATCTTAAATAGCCTAGGCTTTCAAAATCCTTTATATCTGCCAATTTGTGATTTTTAAGATGATAAAATACATAATCAGAACGTTTGGATAGGAGGGCCCCTGGGTGGCTCAGTCTGCCTTCCACTCAGTTTATGATCACACTCAGTTTATGATCACAGGGTCCTGGGATCAAGTCCCACATCTCAGGCTCCCTGCTCAGTGAGGAGTCTGCTTCTCCTTCTCTTTCTACCCCTCCCCACCGCTCATGCTCTCTCTCTCACACACTCTCTCTCTCAAATAAATAAGATCTTTAAAAAAAAAAAAAAGAAAGAAAATTTGGATGGGTACAACTACTGGTTAATTACTCATTCACCAAATAAGTTTAACTTGTACTTAACCCTCTACTCATAAAAATATGAAGGGAGATAATAAGAATGAATTATAAAACTAAATAAGAGTGTTCTGATAATCATAATACTAGAAAATACTTATTTGTATCTGCCTGGAAAAATGTATGTCTATATTTTCCTTTAATCTGGAAAAGAAATTATAGAATCAGAGAGATAACATATTTTTTACATTTCTTTCTTTAGTTACAGCTATTTTTTGATAAATTATAAAAAAACAAGAGGCTACTCTATTTCAGCGGTGGTGGCAGGGACCAAAAAACTAGCAAAAAGTGAAGGAAATACTATAGTGTTTTTATTATAATATATTCTGGTCCAAAACTAATATGATTAAAATAGCTGACATTTACTGAATGCTTGCTTACATGTAAGGCGCTGTCACATGAGGATATTTTACAAAATTATTTAATCTTAACCATGAAATAGAGACTAGCTTTATTCAGAAAAAGAAATACGGAACTGCTAAATGTTGGATCTAGGATTTAAACTCAGGTAGACAGGATCTAGTCTCACACTCATGCTGCATAATTTTAGGAAAAGCTTCCTTTATTTCCCAGTGTATTTAACATTTCACATTTCTTCCCTAACAGAGAATGTACGTATAAATTTCTCTTTGCGTTATTTTAGAGATGTAAATGATGACTACTTATGATCACACGGACTTAATGGACTTATAAATGAGATAAACGCCTTAGGTTCATGGGATCAATATATGTGAATTATGTCTTCAGTGTCTAGTTCTTCATTAAAAAAAAAATCTTAAAGACTGAAAGATAAACTATATTGTAATTTGTTTCCTTGCACCATCTAGTGGATTTAAATGACAAGTGCGGCAGTAGTATAAATGATTACAAGTCAATTATATAAGTCAAATTTTTCAAACGTATCCGGAGAACTGTTCCTAAAATCGTATTTTGGATCATACCACAAATGTGCACGGCATTATTCGTCATCTTCCTGAGGGAGTCAACTAAGCATGTGTGCTGAATTCATTAGTGAATGTTTAAACCTACAAACAAAACAAGATAAAATAGCATCTTTGCAATTCTTTTACGTTAGAGATAATGAAAGTCAGCTCCGTTTAGTTCATCCCAACAGTATTCATAAATTGCGAGGATTCCCAGGAAGCTGCGCGGAGGGAGAAGCACCGGGAGTCTGCGCGGAGCCAGTGCGCAGGCGGGCTGAGGAGCGGAAGTCGGGAGGCGGGGCTGAGCCCGGACCTGGGAGCGGAAGAGGCCGGGGGTGCTGGCTGAGGCGCGGAGACCGTTCGGCGGCGAGTCCCGGGCCAGCCCGAGCTCAAAGTCCCAGACCCCGGGAGACGCCAGAAGAAGCTGAAGCACTTGGGGTTCCGGAGCAGTCGCCGCTGGCTGCTGCTGCTCTTCTGCCTGTGCACCGCGGACGCCGCCGCCCCCGCCGCCTGAGGACGCGGCCCTGACAGGCTTCTAGGCCTAGGCGCGGCCCCAGGAGCCCGTCGTGTTGCTGCCGGTGCTGCTGTGAGTAATACGAGCGCCCTCTCCACAGTCGTTTACAAATTAAAATGGAGGAAATTTCGTTGGCTAACCTGGATACTAACAAGCTAGAGGCCATCGCTCAGGAGATATACGTAGACCTAATAGAGGATTCTTGTTTGGGCTTCTGCTTTGAGGTGCACCGGGCAGTCAAGTGTGGCTACTTCTACCTGGAGTTCGCAGAAACTGGTAGCGTGAAGGATTTTGGCATTCAGCCAGTGGAAGATAAAGGAGCATGCCGCCTCCCGCTTTGCTCCCTTCCTGGAGAATCTGGGAATGGGCCTGATCAGCAGCTGCAACGCTCACCCCCAGAATTCCAGTAGCTGCAACATGAGAGAGTCAGAGAGTGACCAGGACAATAACATAGACCGGTCCTGTGGTTTGGAGAAGTTAGGTATCTAAGTAAAAAAAGAAAAAAAAAGAAAAAAGAAAGAAAGAAAGAAAAAAAAAAAAGAAATCAAAGTCCCAATTCTCATTGAACATCCTAGCCTTTAAAAACCCAAAGTGGAGAATTTAGGAATTCGGATCCTTTTATAAGTATATTACCTGGAATCAGCTTTGAAACCCTGGGCAGGAGGAGCTGTGCATCCTGTGCACCGTACCATGCAGGTTGATCTCTACACCAGCGAAGTGCACAAGATCCCTGTACTGTCCCCAGTGCACAGGTGAGCAGCTGTGTGCCCAGTGTATAAATCCTTTGGTTCCTCAGCCTTTCTGTCTGCCTGATGTCAAGGGCTTTCTGGATAACTGACAGTTTGGACATAGCTGATGGTCAGGCCTTAATCGTTGGGCCTCAGTGGGACTGCTCCTCTGATCTCTGAGCCTCTGATTTGGATTTCTCCAAGACAAATGAAAGTCAGGTATGAGATCTGGATATTAACAGTTCCAATTTGGGAAAACCAAGAAAAAGAATTACAACTGAATCTGGTAGGGGAAGCTCTGTGATCTTGGCTCCAACAAGAAGAAAAGGTCAAAGCTACCAGTTTCCCAAAGGTCCAGCATTACAGTGACTTGAACGGACTTGGGGACAAGGGCTAACCTTTTGCTGAACAGAGCCCTTTGTCTTGCACCCCACCCGGTGGCATAGGCTTATTAAATGGACAACTTGGTTATCCAGGCAGGCTGAGGATTTAGTTATGATCCCTTAAGGAGGTAGCAGGGGCCTCTGCAACTATGCACGATCTCTTAAACTGCAAGATTCATACCTGGATGTATTATGCTGTGAACAACAGTTTGGTGGGGCAGTCATTTTCTTACTCTGAGTTACTAGTTACCTAGCCAGTCCATGTGTCTGACTTGGTCATTATGCCAGGTCACTACCTGCCTCCTATGCCAGGGTTAGGCCTGAATTATAGAAGAGCATAATGGCTGTGCAGGAGACTGATTTGAAAGCTGAGGCCAGAGGGGACCTCTTCCAGCTGCCCTCTATGTTAATGGGTTAGTACTAGGAGCCAAGGAGCAAGACTGGGTCGTCTCTCATCTGACTACAGTATCCTATTGAATGCCCCTGTTCTTGGGTTGGGCAGTCAAAGCTCTGTTCTAGTGAATATCTAGACTGTCACCACCTCTGCCCCTCAGGAGGGGCAGCCCCTTCCATTCAGTCCCTTTTGGACATTCTTGACAACAAGAGCTGTCTTTTTGTTGTCAGGAGTCAGGGAATGGGATAGGCAAGGATGGGAAATGTGAGCCACATATCAAAACTACCCTCCACTTTACTCCCTGATCGAGGGTTTATGAAGTGTAGAGGGGTGAGAACCCCAAAGTGAGCGGGAACGGTGCTGCTTTATTTGAAATGTTTTCTTACCTCATTCTGTGCCCCAGTAAGGGGCCCAGCCTCATCTGTCTGGCTTGGCCCCATGTTCCTACTGTCCCCTGCTCCACTGCCTATCTGGTGCAGCTCACGACCCCAGGTGCTGCCTACTACCCTGCTTTCACACTGACCAGTTTCAATTCATCTCTCTTGATGCTCCTGCTTCTTAAGCCTGCCCAGTTTCGCTTTCCTTGGCTTCTTTTAAGTTTTTTTTTTTTCTTGGGATTTGTTTTTTTTTTTCCTTTTTCTTTTAGGAGATCCAGAGAAGAATCTTTCTGGTGGGTTCCTCTGTTGGGATTAAGATGGGGAGAGAACATAATTTTTTGTGTATGAAAGGCAGTGTCATGCCTAAGCATTTTCCTATAGGGCTGCCTTGCTAGATGCCTTCCTGCTGTGTCCTACTTCATAAGGAGTTACATCTTCCCACCTCCATTTGGATACTGCCTCTTAGGACCTAAGCAGAAGACCAGTAAAGGCTGACTGACACACACAGGGATGGAGTGGGTCCTGATCTATTTTCTCTAACCCTTGCTGTGCATGTATCCTTCCTTATCCCAGAAGGAACTGTTTGGACTGTATGGGCTGATTTTTGTTACATATAGACATTAAGTGAACCATAGTGATAGGGCCTCAGGACTGTCTATTACTGCATTCTCCCCCTAGAATTGTCCTGGTCAGTGTTGAGGTATAGTTACAGATTGGTCTTCAAGAATTGTGCTTTTTAGAAAGTTAAAGCTTGGGAAGAGCTAAAACAATATTGGGTTATCTGCCTTTGACTTTATAGACATCTCCTTCTAAGGGGATGCAGAGGGAAAGGAGGGTCTAAGTGAAACTCTGGCCTACTTCCAGATAATGTCTGGGAAACAGGTTGAAGGTAAGGTCATGGTCCACTCTTCTTCAGAGAGGGAGCTCTGATTATGACATTATTGTTTCCTTTCTGGTCATTCTCTTGGTTACAGGAGGAAGAAGTGGAAAGTAATTTTGAATAACTTGGTTCATATTACCTCCCTCTTGGTTATTGTTTTTGTTTTTTTGCCCTCCCATTATTAGGGCAATAGCCCTAGGCCTGTCCTGGATGGGTATGAGGTGGGCTAGCTCCAACAGGTGCCCTGAGGGGACAAACTAACTCCTTTCTTTTCTGGGGAGTGAATTCTCCCTACCATATAGTTGACAGTGGTTAGGAACTCTCCCTTTCCCTACCTATCTTCCCTCTAACAGCAGAATTCCTATCCTCCCTTCCTTACTCAATTAAGTATATTGATCACCCTGTAATTCTATTATGTATCTTGAGTGTGTGTGTGTGTATGGGGGGAAGGGATTCTTTACAAATTTTTGTGGTTTGTGGCTTTTTCTTCCATACATTAGTTCCCACCACCGCATGTCCAGGGGCCATTGCCTGGCATTATCGCATGCTGGGATCATTGGGGAAGTGTAGTGAAGCTCACCACTGTTCTTTGTTTTGGAGATTATTATTTTTGCATAAGTAGTCCATCCTATACAGATTGCTAACTAACTGTGTATTCCCCTTGCCCCTATGGCTGCTGGTGTAAATAAACTGCATCTTCCCATTGGTAAACAGTACTAATAAAATTTTAAAAAATGACCTTATTTAGACTCTGTATGTTCATCTTTTAAGATTGTACATGTTTTTCAGGTATTGACATAGTAAAATAAATGTTGAATTGCTGTTGAACCCTAGTCACTTTCTCCTGAATGGGAGTTTTATCAAAGTAGAGGAACTTTGCCCAACTTTATTTCTCCATCTAGTCCTACAAATTTAGCTTTCTGCAAGATCCAGTGAAAAATAAACTAGGTGGTAAAATAAATATAATTCAGGCCTGTCACTAAGTCCAATGTGAAAGCTACTTCTCTTTAAGTGGAACTCAAGATACCTTAATATATACATTTTTACCACTTTTTCAGGCTAATATCCTTGTTCTCAAAAGACAAATGATTCAAAAAAAGACAAAAGATTCATAGCAGAAAATGAGTCGACTTTTCTAAAGGTAATTTTTTCCCAGTACTTTTCATTATTCTTTTACCCCAACTCTTTAGATCTTTCAGTTTGTCTTAGAGTAATTCTGAGAATTTTTATTCCTTTCTCTTCCTAATCCAGAGCTGGAGCACTTCCCTTAGAAATTGTATGTGTTCCTTAGTCCTGTTCAAAATCACTTATTTGCCAAATGTTCTAGTTCATTAAAGAAATAGTCCCAAATTGGAAGTAATACTTAGATGAATAAAAATTATCATAGGAATGGGGCCAGCAGAAAAACCATCTCAGTACAATACCTCAGGGATGTTACAGACCTGTACCATGGTATTGAGTCACCTAACATTTAAATGCCACTGCAGCAAATACTTTTGTATGGTATTTTGTATGTTTAGATTTGAATTAATTTATTTGGTGCTAACCTAGTTTTCTGAAATGAGGTATTTGCAAGATCTCAATGCTTTACTAGGTCCATTGGACTGCAGGACTTTTAAGACTTTCTTTTCATGTTTTCTAACTAATGTAATTTGTATATTTAAAAAGAAAAAAATTGCATACCTCTTAACTCCCTGGATACTGCATTTTAACTACAGCATGTAGCATGAGGTCAGGAACCTAATTAATTGTTACTTGATGTTGACAAATATAAAGACCCCCAAAATAAAGTATGCTCTGTAGTTAAGGATTCAGGAAGAGCTTTCTTCGCACACAGTAATAATTTAGTAGCACCTTCCATTGGGACCTGAGGTACTTTAAAGTGTTTTTATAATTTTTTAAAATCTTTTATAAAATGAAGAGAATATATTAATGTGCTAAAAGCACACCATTTATACTTTATTAAATGCCCTTTCATATTAGTCTTCAAAATAGTTACCATGGTTAGTGAATTTCTGGTTCTCAGATCAGCTAGAGATAACTTGTAACATCAGACTAGAAGTTTCAGTCTGCTGTGGAGGATGCAAGCTGTTTAATTCTCATTCATGTTCCAAAAGATGCCAGTGATGCTTTGGACAGTAACGTTTGTTACAAGTGATGCATTTGTTCAAAAAGATACTGCAGATAAACCTGTAAATCCTTGGGTGGCTTTTTTTCCCCAGATTTTTTTCAAAATGTTTTTTAAAACGTTTTCAGTCATGTTACTTGAGCCTCATTGGACATATGTGAGCTGAAAAGGAAATATTAAATTCATTTTAGAGATGACAAAATATGTTCAACAGCAGGGATTTACTCATAGTTCAAAAACAAATACAGAAGCAATAGAAGTAAAAGTAGAATTCTGATCTAGGCCAGTGCTTTTTGTTGAAGCAATAGAATTTTTAAACTAATAAATGAAAGGACTAAAAGACAAAATAACAGTTAAAGCAGAATGAAAAAATTGAGATGCTAGTGAAAACTTAAAGGCAATGAATTGAAAAAATGAAAAACATTTAAAAATATAACTCCAAGGAATTTTTGTCTTTAATAAATGAATACATCTAGAACTTAAACTAATCCCATCTCTACCCAGATATACACACAAAAACACTAGACACTTAGAATTTTATAGACAATACACAAAATACAAATGATTGTAAGCTAAGTGTATTATGAAGATAGATGAAGAAAACGAAGATGTTGGCAAACCCCAACTCCATTAAAATATCAAAAATAAACATTATCAACAAGTTAGGTTAATCCCAGGAAAGAAAGATTTTGACTCAGAAAATCATCACCATTGGAGAAAAGCCATGTGAAAATTTCAATAGAAACAGAAAAAATAGTTTTAAAGTTCAATACCAATTAATTGATTTTAAAAAATACTTATTAGTCAATAAAAACAAGGGCTAAAAAAGTTTCATAAAATAATGTATTAAAAATCTACAATTGCTTTGTTTAATGGTGAATACTTGGAAGCATTCTCGTTAAAAGCAGGAATTGGAAGAAGCTTCTCATTCTCAGATGATATCCAAATGGATAATTTTATAGAATCTATGAACATACAACTGGAAGTAATGATAGAATACAGTAAAGTTGCTGAATATTAAGATCAATATCCAAAATCAGAGTAATAGAAATTTTAAAACATTACATTTATAATGTAACAAAAATTATGATAGTCTTATGAATTAATATGATAAGAGAGGTATAAGGTTTTATGGAGAAGATGATAAAATTTTTTTCTGGCATATTGAAGAAACCCAGATAAATGGAAAGTGATAGGATGTTCATAGATTGGAAGTTCATTATCATCAATCCAAATAAATGAATTGGAAGTAATCTTGATTAAAATCCAAACATATTTTTGTGAAACTTGACAAGCTAATCTTAACATTTATATGAAAGCAAGGTGCAAGAATAGACAAGATCTTTTTGACAATATTTTATATAGTTTGGTTTTGGTGCAGAAACAAAATGGAATAGAGAGTTCAGAATTAAATGGAAAAACACATTAATGGTATTCTGATCCATGACTAAATCCAAATCCTGATGTATTAAAATCAGTGGCTTATAAACCAATATATTGTTCTGACATGGATTACCCATAAATAAATATTAAAACCTACAAAAACTATCATGTGGATTTAAGACTTACTATGGAAAAGTAGAACATCGAACCTTTCTAGGGAAATATAGTAGTGTATGTATATAATTGTAGGCAAGGGAAAATTTCTTAAGTAAAAGCACCAAAATAAAAGATTGACACACTGGACCATTATCATAAATGTAAAACTTTCTGTGCCTGTCATACTACAAAAAACAGCAACAAAATGCTATGACATGCTAGTAGAAGTGCTGTAGTTCTTATGACTGATAAGGATTATTACCATTTTTTAAAGATTTTATTTATTTGACAGAGAGAGCACAAGCAGGGGGAGCAGCAAAGGGAGTGGGAGAAGCAGGGAGCCTGACCTGAGGCTCAGTCCCAGGACCCTGGGATCATGACCTGAGCCGAAGGCAGCCGCTTAACCCACTGAGCCACCCAGGCGCCCCACTGATAAAGATTATTAACAGAATAATTATACAGTTGACAAATGGACAAAGTAAAAGAACAGCTCACTTGAAGAAATCCAAATGGCAAAAAAGATATGAAAAGTTTACTTAGGTTCGGAGAAATGCAAACTAAAAACATGAAATACCAATTTATACCACTCAGTATGGTTAAAATAAAAAAGGTGATGATATCAACTCTGACAGGCATACAGAGCAATTAAAACTTGTACATTGCTGGTGTAAATTGATAAAAATATTTTTGGAAAACAATCTGAAATACCTACAGCAGTTCATAAGCATAACCAACACCCCAATATGTCTACTAGCTCTTGTAGCATTATTTGTAATAGGAAAAAATTGAAAGCTATATAAATACCCATTTAAAAATAGTCCCTATACATAAATGAAGATTACAAGGGCTGCACAAATATTCAGTAAAACATATATTCTTATAATTTGCTACCTTTCATTTGAAGTTTAACAATATGCAAACCAATGCTATATTGTTTAGGGGTATATGTGTATGTAATTAAAAAGTATACTCAAGGGCGCCTGGGTGGCTCAGTTGGTTAAGCGACTGCCTTCGGCTCAGGTCATGATCCTGGAGTCCCTGGATCGAGTCCCGCATCGGGC